TCCGATCCTAGAGCCTCAGTGCCGCAGATTGTCAGATGTTTCAGGTGTGGTGGGCCACACTACCTGAGCCAGTGCCTACAGGCTGATGTCAGAGTCTACTTCTCGTGCCAGCAGGTAGGACACCTTGCTAGGGATTGTCCTACGCCTAGTGGGGCAGTTTCGTCTTTTGCTAGCGCCTTGCACGCTGTAAGGCCCAAAGTGACTAGAGCTCCGACGACAACCAGATCGAGAGCAGAGGGACGTGTATTCACTACTTCTGCATCAAAGGCAGCCCAGACGACAGATCTTATTCAGGGGACAGCGGTAGTGGCAGGTACTTCTCTTTTTGTATTGTTTGAATCTGGAGCCACGTGCTCTTTTATTGCGGACATTTGTGTGAGAACCTTAGGGTTACCGGTGAGCGATCTAGGATGTGAATTGGTAGTATCGACACCTACTTTAAGTTCAATTAAAACTTTGACAGTTTGTGTTAGGTGTCCCATAGTAATTGAGGGACGAAAGTACAAAGTAAATCTTATTTGTATTCTGATGTCAGGGTTAGATGTAATCTTGGGTATGGATTTGCTAACTGCCAATCGTGTGCCAATTGATTGTGGCCGGAGGTGTTTTGTCTTGCTGAGCAGCAAGGTTGTGTGGAATTGATTTCTACTCGCCAAGTGGAAACATCCTTAGGTGAGGGAGTATCTTGTTTTGTTTTGTTGGGAGTTATGAATATAGAAGTGGAGCAAAGCCTTCAGTCAATACTAGTTGTACGTGAATTCCCTGAGATTTTTCTAGAGGATATTCCTGGAATACCTCCACGTAGAGAGGTAGAGTTTGCTATAGATTTGATTCTTGGAGCTGAGCCAGTGTCTGTAGCACCTTATAGAATGGCACCGAAAGAGTTGATGGAGTTTAAGGAGCAGATTGAGGATCTAATGCGGAAACAAATGATTAGGCCAAGTGTATCGCCTTGGGGAGCACTAGTTCTCTTGGTAAAAAAGAAGGACGGAAGTTCTAGATTATGTGTTGATTATCACAAGTTGAATAAGTTAACAATTAAGAATAAGTACCCGTTGCCGTGGATCGATGATTTAATGGACCAGTTGAAAGGTGCTAAGGTATTCTCTAAGATTGATTTGAAGTCTGGGTACCATCAAATCTGAGTGAAGGATGAAGATATTCCTAAGACTGCTTTTCGTACTAGATATGGCCACTATGAGTATATAGTGATGCCCTTTGGAGTCACAAATGCTCCAGCTGTGTTTATGGACTACATGAATCGGATCTTTAGACCTTTCCTGGATCGATTTGTGGTAGTCTTTATTGATAATATTTTGATTTATTCTAGTTCGTCAGAGGAACATGCAGAGCATTTGAGGACTGTACTTAGTGTTTTAAGGGAGAAACATTTGTATGCTAAATTGTCTAAATGTGAATATGCCATGATTTGATGAAAAGTATGTGGAAAAATGATGAAAAATATGTGTGAATATGAGAAATGGCATATGTGAACATGTAAATATACTTGAAAGAGTATGAGATGGAAAAAGATATGATGTAAATAGTTACAGAGATACACCGGGGAAGTGGAATATGGAGACGATATGGGATATCTTGGGGAAATGTAGGGTGTGAGTGACATTCAGGATTGTGCACGGAATATTGTGTTCGACTGCACCACATGGCCACACACTCATTTCTCAACTTGACTCCTGACCATTACCTTTGCCAAGGGGCCGTCTATAGCATTCTTTTGAAACAGTTGTAAAACTACTATTTCTCTTTGTTGCTGATGAAAACTTTAGAATCTTTGTTTTTCTAAAGTACTTATGAATTAATGAAATTTCACTCTATGAACCTTATATCATTTCAATGTCTCTTTCTTATTAGAGAGTTTTGAAAGAAAATTTACTTTACCATTTAAATTTTTATGAAAATTTATCATATATTAAGGAAAGAAATATAAAGCGTTACAATTTTGGTATCAGAGCAGTTCATCCAGACCAAACTGGGGTATGGGACTAACATGTCTATGTTGTGTGATAGATATGCTAGAAATATGAAATGATTATTTGCTAATATGACTTGTTAGATGTGAATTACCTGAGCTAGATGTATCTATGTGTATGTGAATGATAGATTAATAAGTGATTTGAGTTTATTGCGAGATTAGAGCTATGGCTGGTAGAGGTAGACCTGCTGGTGCTAAAAATGAACTCCTAGAGTGCATGCCCAAGTCTTAGAGACTTTGGCACATAACCAGGAGGCTGAACCAGCTGAGTATAGAGGACTTTCTTCTTTTACTAGGCATAACCCTCCAAAATTTGAAGGAAAGTTTGATCCTGAGCGAGCTCAGAGGTGGATAGCAGATGTGGAGAAGATTTTCCATGCCATGGGATGTAGAGAGGAGCATAAAGTAACTTATGCTACTTATATGCTGAGTGGAGAAGCTGAGAACTGGTGGTGATTTGCTAGTCAAACTCTATTGCAAGAAGATGGTTATATTTCTTAGGAGACATTCAAGGCAACCTTCCTAGGAAATTATTTCCCTAGAGATTTAAAGAAACAGAAGGCTAGGGAGTTCCTTGAGTTGAAATAAGGAAACATGTCTATAGGTGAATATACTGCTAAATTTCATGAATTGATGAAATATTGGCCTCACTATCGACATAATGATGGAGAGGAAGATCTATGTGCTCAATTTGAGCATGGGCTAAGGCCAGATATTCAAGCTGCTGTTAGTGTATTTCAGCTAACATATTTACTCACTTTAGTGAGTAAATGCAGAATATTTGAAGCCAATACTAAGGGTAAGACGGTGGATACCAGAATTGGTGGTCCTGTGAGGCAAGACCAAAGGCCTCCAAGATTTTCTAAAGGACCTTACTCTAGTTCAAATCAGTCTCAAGTGAAGGGGACTGTATCTCAAGTAGATAGTAGTGGTGGTTCTGGTTCTTTCAAAAGGCCACTAAAATGTTTCAAGTGTGGTGGACCTCATATTAAAAAGATTTGTCCTAAACTTCCACCAACATGTGACATTTGTGGGAAAATGGGACACTCTGCTAGTGTCTATTGGTCTGCTCCATAAAAGAGCGGAAGCATGAGTGTGGAACAAAGACCTGAATCTAAAGCAAGCACTGGAATAAAGCCAAATGTGAAAGGCAAAGTTTTTGCTATGAGTGGAGCTGAGGCTTCAAAATCAGATGAGCTTATTAGAGGTAAATGTATCATAAAAGATCGACTTGTAGATGTGTTGTTTGATTCTGGTGCTACTCATTCCTTTATTTCTGTGGATTGTATGAGATGTCTAGAATTACTTGTATCTGAATTGTCTTGTGATGTTATTCTACTCCTACGGGTAAGCCTGTAGCAACTTCTTCTGTGTGTTTAGGTTGTCCTGTGATGGTACATAGTAGGAGTTTTAGTATAGATTTGATTTGTTTACCTCTTTCCCAACTTGATGTAATTTTGGGAATGGATTGGTTGTCATCCAACCATGTTTTATTGGATTGTAAAGAGAAAGTTCGATTTTTGGCACTAAAGTATCAGAAAGTGCTAGACTCTTAGGTCCAGATCCATTGGAAATTGTAATGAGTGCTAAGGCTTTCATGGTTCTATTTTCAATTGAGACTGAAAAGGATATAAAGCCTGAGTATATCCAAGTGGTTAGAGATTTTTTAGAAGTTTTCCCTGATGATGTTACTGAATTGCCACCAGAAAGAGAGATTGAGTTTACTATTGATCTCATTCTGGGAGCAAATCCTATTTCTGTTGCACCATATAGGATGTCACCAGTAAAGTTGGCTGAGGTAAAGAAATAGGTAGAAGAATTATTGCAGAAAAGGTTTATAAGGCCAAGTGTGTCACCTTGGGGAGTACCTGTTCTTTTGGTGAAAAAGAAAGATGGGAGCATGAGGATGTGTGTTGATTATAGGCAGTTGAATAAGGTAACAATAAAGAACAAGTATCCTATTCCTCGAGTTGATGACTTGATGGATCAGTTACGAGGAGCTTCCATATTTTCAAAGATTGATTTGCGATCTGGTTATCATCATATCAGAGTCAAGAGTGAAAATATCCCCAAGACAGCGTTTAGAACCCGCTATAGCCACTATGAGTATCTAGTTATGCCATTTGGTGTGACTAATGCTCCTGCAGTATTCGTGGACTACATGAATAGAATTTTTCATGAGTTTTTGGATAAATTTGTTGTAGTATTTATAGATGATATTCTGATTTATTCCAAGACTCATGAAGAACATGCAGAACACTTGAGAATTGTTTTGCAGATACTGAGAGAAAGACAGTTGTATGCAAAATTCTCTAAGTGTGAATTTTGGTTACCACAAATCCAATTTTTGGGACATGTGGTATCGAAAGATGGCATTATGGTGGATCCAGTAAAGGTAGAGGCAGTGGCTCAATGGTCAAGGCCTACTAATCCAACAGAAATTTGCAGTTTTCTGGGACTAGCTGGCTATTATAGAAAACTCATTGAAGGATTTTCTAAAATAGCTTTTCCATTGACGAAGTTAACAAGAAAAGGAAAGGAGTTTGTGTGGAATGAAGAGTGTGGAGCTAGTTTCCAAAAGCTTAAAGAAAGGTTAACATCTGCCCCTGTCTTAGTTTTGCCTAATCCAGAACAGAAGTTTGATGTGTATTGTGATGCATCTGGGCAAGGGCTTGGTTGTGTCTTGATGCAGGATGGAAGGGTAGTTGCTTATGCTTCAAGGCAGTTGCGTCCTCATGAAGTTAATTATCCTACTCATGACCTAGAATTAGCCGCGGTGTTTTTTGCCCTTAAGATATGGAGACATTATCTATTCGGGGCAAAATTTGAGGTGTTTAGTGATCATAAGAGTTTGAAGTACTTGTTCGATCAGAAAGAGCTAAATATGAGGCAGAGAAGGTGGATGAAATTTCTAAAGGATTATGATTTTACATTGTCTTACCATCTTGGGAAGGCAAATGTGGTTGCTAATGCTTTAAGTAGGAAGTCCTAGCATATGGCAAGTATGATGGTGAAAGAATTAGAGTTGATTAAGAAGTTCCGAGATATGAATTTGGCAGTGGAGGTGCGACCTCAGAGTTTGTATCTTGGGACTTTGATAATCAATACTGATTTCTTGGTTAGGGTTCGTGATGCCCAACAAGAAGATATGTTCTTGTAGGAAATGATAAGGCAGAGGGGTGAAGAAAAGGATTTGGAGTTCCATTGTGATGCAAATGGACTGATTAAGTTCAAGAACCGTGTATGTATTCCTTCTAATGATGAGCTTAAGCAAATGATACTTGAGGAAGCTCATAAAAGTAGAATGAGTTTTCATCCTGGTGCGACAAAAATGTATTAAGACCTTCGTAATAATTTTTGGTGAAATAGAATGAAGAAAGATGTGGCTGAGTATGTAGCAAAGTGTTTAGTCAAAAGGCGAAGGTAGAACATCAACGTTCACCTGGGATGTTGCAGCCATTAGAAATTCCTGAGTGGAAATTGGATAGTATTTCTATGGATTTTGTGTCTGATTTGCCAAGAACCAAGAGTAATCATGATACAATTTGGGTGATAGTAGATAGATTGACTAAAACAGCTCATTTTCTTTCCATTAATATGAAGTACAAGTTGGAAAAGCTAGCAGATATGTATGTGAGAGAGATAGTCAGATTGCATGGAGTGCCAACTAGTGTTGTGTCAGATAGAGATCCAAGGTTTACATCGAGATTTTGAGAAAGTTTGCAGAAAGCCTTGGGTACTAAGTTAAAACTTAGCTCAGCTTATCATCCACAAACTGATGGTCAGACTGAAAGAACAATACAGTCTTTGGAGGATTTGTTGAGAGCTTGTGTGATGGAACAACAAAGAACTTGGGAGGAATGTCTACCTTTGGTGGAATTCACATATAATAACAGTTATCAAGCAAGCATTGGAATGGCTCCATTTGAGGCTCTGTATGGAAAGAAGTGTAGAACACCTTTGTATTGTTATGAAACTAGAGAGGCGATCTTATATGCACCAGATATGGTTCAGAAGCAACATGAGCAAATCAAATTGATTAGAGAAAAGATGAAAATAGCACAAGATAGGCAAAGGAGTTACTATGATAAGAGGAGAAAATCTTTGGAGTTTCAGGTGAGTGAGCATGTGTTTTTGAAAGTTTCACCTGTGACTGGAGTTGGAAGAGCTCTAAAGTCCAAGAAGTTATCTCCTAAGTTTATTGGGCCATTTGAAGTGCTAAGCAAAGTTGGCCCTGTTGCTTATGAGATTGCTTTGCCTCTAAATCTCTCAAACTTGCATCCTGTATTCCATGTATCGCAGCTTAGAAAGTATATTCCTGACCCTACTCATGTAATAGAACTTGATCTTGTTCAAGTGAGAGAGAATTTGTCAAATGATGTACAACCGGTGAAAATTGTTGATCGTCGTGTTAAGAAATTAAAGGGTAAGGATATTTCACTAGTTAAAGTAATATGGAATACTAGTGATGAGGGAGATGCCACGTGGGAAACTAAGAATAAGATGAGAGAATTATATCTTGACCTTTTTGTAACTTAGCGAATTTCGGGGACGAAATTCCTTAAAGGAGGGGAGAATTGTAATATCGATCATGTGCTTTGTGTCATGCCTGTAGTATATTATTGAGAAAAATCTATAGTACTTTGTGAGCAAAAAGAAAACGTGTATGTACGGTAGCCCCGAATGTCAATACTGACATCACACTGATGTCATCGGTGACATCATGCTGATGTCATCGGCGACATCATGCTGACATCATCGCTTATGTCATTCGTGACCTCACGCTGACATCATCGCTTATGTCATTGGTGATCTCACGTTGACATCATCGCTTACATCACGTTGACGCTGACATCATTGCTTGCATCATGCTGACATCGTCACTTACATCACATTGACGCTGGCATCTTCAAAATTTTTCTATAAATAGGGGGCTTCACATGAAATTTTCATTTCTTCACTCCTATCTAAGGTTCTAAGGCTATACCTCACCATTTTCTCCCATACTAAACCTCCTAAACATAGATTTCTCTTCAGATCTATGATTCTACGTCCGTTCTAAAGGATTTCAAGTAAGTTTCTTTAAGTTTGAAGTTAGATTTATCGTTTGTTTCTCTTCTTCTTCTTTTTCTTATAGATGTTCATGTATTCTTAGGAAAACCTCCGTTCTAGAGTTAAAATCTTCGGTTAAATCTTTGTAAAAGCTCTGTTTAGAGGTAAGAGGAGCTCTACTTTATCATTTTGTTATGTTTATTACTTGTATTCTCATAGATCTTATCATGTATGTTATTATATGTAGAATAATCCTTGTTTTGAGAAATAATCGGTGAAAAGTGAGAATAATTGGTTGTTTATGTGATTTTATGATGAATACATGGTGAAAATGTGATATTATGTTCAAATAGGGCACGATAAGGTGTATTAAGAATGGTTGATATGATTTTATGATTTTGTTATATGAAATATACAAAGAGATGGATGTTTCATATTTGAATATATTGTGTTTCCTGTTAAAATGATGTGTATTGTGAATATGCCATGATTTGATGAAAAGTATGTGGAAAAATGATGAAAAATATGTGTGAATATGAGAAATGGCATATGTGAAGATGTGAATATACTTGAAAGAGTATGAGATGGAAAAAGATATGATGTAAATAGTTACAGAGATACACTGGGGAAGTGGAAGATGGAGACGATATGGGATATCTTGGGGAAATGTAGGGTGGTGAGTGACATTCAGGATTGTGCACGGAATATTTGTGTTTGAATGCACCACATGGCCACACACTCATTTCTCAACTTGACTCTTGACCATTACCTTTGCTAAAGGGCCGTCTATTGCATGCGTTGTATCCGTATTGCATTGGGCCATTCGGCGACTATTTACATGGATGTGTAAGACCTCGGGATAGAGGCATCAGATAACTGTGGCCACAAGGCGCGGTAAGTGCGGTTAAAAGTAAAACAAATTATGAATCTATGGAATATAATGTGTTTGTGTGTTGAGATGAGAACATACTTTATATAACACTGTGATATGCAAATGCCATGATGTTTTCTTTAATCGTGATAAGATGTGTTTTGTGATGAATATGTGTGATGTATGAGTGGTAGGGTAGAGACTCACCCTTACACAACATTTTTCAGGAAAATAGGACGAATAGTATCAGACTCACAGTGCATGGATGGATGAGGACTGCTATAGGACTTAGTTATTTTGAGTTATGTAATGGATAATTTCAGTTCTATAGCATTCTTTTGAAACAGTTGTAAAACTACTATTTCTCTTTGTTGCTGATGAAAACTTTAGAATCTTTCTTTTTCTAAAGTACTTATGAATTAATGAAATTTTACTCTATGAACCTTATATCATTTCAATGTCACTTTCTTATTAGAGAGTTTTGAAAGAAAATTTACTTTACCATTTAAATTTTTATGAAAATTTATCATATATTAAGGAAAGAAATATAAGGCGTTACATTACCAAGATGTATCAAGATTTAAAACAGATGTTTTGGTGGCCAGGCATGAAGCGAGAGATAGCTGAGTTTGTTAGAGCCTGTTTCACTTGCCAAAAGGCAAAAACGGAGCACTAGAGCCCTCCAGGAGAGTTGCAGACGATAGAAATTCTAGAGTGGAAGTGGGACCATGTGACTATGGATTTTGTGTCCCATCTACCTAGAACAGTTAAAAATCATGATGCCTAGTGGGTCATAGTTCATAGGCTAACCAAGAGTGCGCATTTCTTGCCAATTAACATGACCTTTAGCTTGGAGAAATTAGCAAAATTGTAAATCAGAGAGATTGTCAGGTTACATGGAGTACCTTATAGTATTATCTCTGATAGGGATCGTCGATTCACTTCTAAGTTTTGGCAAAGTTTCGAAGAAGCTATGGGCACACAGTTGAGGTTGAGTTCTGCATATCATCCGCAGACAAATGGTCAATCTGAGCCTACTATTCAAACCTTAGAAGACTTATTGCGGACTTGTATTATAGAGCAGAGGAGTAATTGGGAGGATATGCTTCGTGTGGTAGAATTCACTTATAATAATAGCTATCATTCGAGTATAGATATGACACCATTTGAGGCTCTGTATGGTAAAAGGTGTAGAACCTTTATCTGTTGGTTCCAAGATGGAGTATGTAACATCCCTAATTTTTAATTTGTGTACTTAGGGTTATCCGAGTTTAGTTAGCCTTTATTAGTACTACTATTATTATATTGATTGATTTTCGTGCATTTTTTGATAATTTTGTGGATTTGTTGATTTTATGAATGTTCTCTTTTAATGATGATTATTTAAATTACTAGGGTCCCTACTGCACGATAGAGCTTGTTATTTTTGTGGTAATGTTTGATGTGAATTTTTATGTGCATGTGTTATAATAATTACATGATGAAACTATCTTAAATAACCCTAGGTTAGTGAGATTAACCTTAGGGCAAAAATGTCTTTTGGTCAAATAGGAGGACCCCATTTTACTTCATGACCATTGCGATTAATGCTTACATTATCTTTTTTTTTATTCATGTTATTTAATTTTTTTTTGCTAGATATTTTCTTAAACTAGTAGAACTACACGTGTGGCTTTTCCTCTCTAACTTTAATTAGCCACTTAAGGAAAGCCACCCTTTTTGCCCTAGATTCCACGTGCAAAACAAAATTTCAAGAGACACTTTTCAATCTTTCCTCATTTAAGTGTTGTAGCCAAAAAGCCATTCAATGCCTAGGGGGAGGGAGAAATTCAAATAGACACCTTATGATTTGGTTCAAATATATCCCTCTTAATTAGGGCAACCAATTTTCGTTAATGCATGAGATAGGAGAGAGAGAAATCGGCCATAATGACCTAGATTCTGAGCCTAAATAATTGCATTTAATACAATTATCAATTCCCTATTTACCATAATTAAATGTAGCCGTTTGTCCTTTCCTAAACCGTTACATGTTAAATTGCAATCAATTGAGATTCCCTCATAAAAGGTGCAGTCGAGAATTAAAGGAAGATTAGAGCCCAAAATCCCTTCCCAAAACGTAAACTCTTCCTAGTCTCGTGCCCTTTATTATAGCTGACTGATGAATCCATATTTTTACTGATATTTTAGCATAATTCTAGCTCATTTAATAAGAAAAATATATGAAAAAAGCAGAAAAACGCAAAAAAAGAGAATGATTGAAAGTTTTAATTCAATTTGTAGTTATTTTCGCATTTGTAGAATTTATGCTTAGTTCTTAAGGAAATTATCTTGTTTTGAAGGAATAAGCTGAGCAAAAGTCATGGAAATGGAGAATCAATGGGAAGGAAGAGGAAGAATGGCAATGCTGGACTCCAAAATACAAGAATTATGGGTTGCAGCCTGGGCGTGATCACTATTGTTAGTGAAAGTGAGCGTTGCCAGTGTGCGTTATCACTTTCGCTGGCGAGAGTGAACGTTCCAGAGAGACTTCATTCCTGATGAGCTGCGTGTTGTCACTTTCGCCAACGAAAGTGAGCGTTCCAGAGGCACTTGTATCAGGACAGCTTGCGCGTGGTTACTATTACTCACGAAAGTGATCACGCGCAGCCCTTGACCTCCTGCGTTGCCACTATTATGAACAAAAGTGAATGTTCCAGAGAAGCCTTCAACTCTGCAAGTTGCGCGTGGTTACTCTTGCTCTTGAAAGTGAACACGCACACTACATAAAGCTTCTGCGTGGTTACTCTTGTGAAGAAAAGTGACAACACGCAGAACTGGGTTTCTATAAATACCTGATTAAAGCGCGAAACTGGGATCTTTTTGCTCATTTTCTGTTTTGTTAGTTAGAGTTTCGTTGAGAGAGAGTGGAGAGAAGATTGGGGTCGAAGCTTGAAGCTCCAAGAAGAGGGATCGGATTGGAGCTCGTGGCCATGGCTGCTCTGCATTCTTCTTCATCTTCTTCTTCTTCTTTCTCTGTTTTTGTTGCAATGTGTGCTTAATTTCCCATAGTTAGGGGTTTATGGAACTCGAATTGATGTATTGATTCGACTTTATCTTCTGAACTTTAAGTTCTTGGATTAATTGAGTTGTTAATTCTGCTTTTCATGCAATCTCTGAATGGAAATTCATTTGATTAATCAAGAGGAATCTTTACCAATGGGAATTGGATTGTTTGCTTCGATCTGAATTGGCAACCAGAGTTTAGGGATTTCTTAGGGATAAGGAGACCTAATTCTGCAATCTTATAGTTCTAATTCTTAATGCAACCTGAAATTGAATCTCACCTAAGGGATTAGGGAGGTTTAGTGGATTGTTAGGGTCAATGAGTTAAGGAATTAACCTTTGGCTAGATATATGTGAAACTGATTGTCAATTATTCAATTGCTTGAATGTTCAGAGGATTTAATTGGATTGATATTGATATTCTTGTGAAGTAAATTCCTAACTATCCTTCATTGCTATTTCATTTCATCACAAATCTTATACTCTGTTTCTCTGCAAGTTCTTTGCTTTAATTGCTTTGGTTTATTGCTGTTATATGTTACAAATCTCCTTCAAAAATTCG